CACGGCCCCCATGGCCCCCACTGCCCCCATTGCCCCCAAGGCCCCAATGGCCTCCATTGCCCCCATTACTCCCATATCCCCCTTACCCCCCATAGCCCCCATAGCCCCCATAGCCCCCATAGCCCCCAAAGCCCCCCCAGCCCCCAGCCCCACACACCAGGGATGGAGGTGCCGAGCGCCACGAAGACGACGGCGTTGACGGAATCTTTGAGGCCGACGGTGCAGCCAAAGTGTGCAGCCAAATCCCCGATGAGCGCCGTGAGGACCCCGATGAGCAGAATGGAGACCCCAAAACACGCCCAGCCGTTGCAGTACTCGGTGGGGGGCACGCAGGCGAACAGAACCTTCCAGAAGACGGTCAGGAAGTGCATCACGTAGTCGAAGCACGACGGCAGGCGCTCCTCCCGCCCGTCCTCCTCCTCCTCCTCCTCGCCTGGGGAGGAAGGCTGCGTCAGAGCCGGGGGGAGTGGGGTGACCCCAAAGGGACCCCATTGACCTCAGAGTGTCACCAGGGGTGTAGGGATGGGTGTGGGGTGACCCCAAAGTCATGGGATGGGAGAGGGATGTGGGGTGACCCCAAAGGGACCCCATTGACCTCTAAGTGTCATCGGGGGTGTAGGGATGGGTGTGGGGCGACCCCAAAGTCATGGGATTTGGGAGAGGGATGTGAGGGTGACACCAAAGGGACCCCATTGACCTCAGAGTGTCCCGCATGGGCATGGAAATGTGGCAAGGTGTGACCCCCAGGTGACAGTCCCCACGGTTGGGTGTCCCCATGGTTGGGTGTCCCCATGGTTGGGTGTCCCCATGTTGGGTGTCCCCACAGTTGGGTGTCCCCATGGTTGGGTGTCCCCATGATGGGTGTCCCCATGGTTGGCTGTCCCCATGTTGGGTGTTCCCATAGTTGGGTGTCCCCATGTTGGGTGTCCCCATAGTTGGGTGTCCCCACGGTTGGATTTCCCCATGGTTGGGTATCTCCACGGTTGGGAGTCCCCATGTGATGTCCCCATAGTTGGGTGTCCCCGTGATGGGCGTCCCCATGGTTGGGTGTCCCCATGGTTGGGTGTCCCCACAGTTGGGTGTCCCTATGGTTGGGTGTCCCCACGGTTGGGTGTCCCCACAGTTGGGTGTCTCCATGTTGGGTGTCCCCATTTTGGGTGTCCCCACAGTTGGGTGTCCCCATGGTTGGGTGTCCCCACGGTTGGGTGTCCCAATAGTTGGGTGTCCCCATAGTTGGGTGTCCCCATGGTTGGGTGTCCCCATGTTGGGTGTCCCCATTTTGGGCGTCCCCACAGTTGGGTGTCCCCACGATGGGTGTCCCCACAGTTGGGTGTCCCCTCAGTTGGGTGTCCCCACAGTTGGGTGTCCCCATGGTTGGCTGTCCCCATGTTGGGTGTTCCCATAGTTGGGTGTCCCCATGTTGGGTGTCCCCATAGTTGGGTGTCCCCACGGTTGGATTTCCCCATGGTTGGGTATCTCCACGGTCGGGAGTCCCCACGTGATGTCCCCATAGTTGGGTGTCCCCGTGATGGGCGTCCCCACGGTTGGGTGTTCCCACAGTTGGGTGTCCCCATGGTTGGGTGTCCCCATGTTGGGTGTCCCCATGGTTGGGTGTCCCAATAGTTGGTTGTCCCCACGGTTGGGTGTCCCCTCGGTTGGGTGTCCCAATAGTTGGGTGTCCCCATGTTGGGTGTCCCATAGTTGGGTGTCCCCCTGTTGGGTGTCCCCTCGGTTGGGTGTCCCCATGGTTGGATTTCCCCATGGTTGGGTATCTCCACGGTTGGGAGTCCCCATGTGATGTCCCCACAGTTGGGTGTCCCCATGATGGGTGTCCTCATGGTTTGGTGTCCCCATGTTGGGTGTCCTCATAGTTGGGTGTCCCCACGGTTGGATTTCCCCATGGTTGGGTATCTCCACGGTTGGGAGTCCCCATGTGATGTCCCCATAGTTGGGTGTCCCCGTGATGGGCGTCCCCACGGTTGGGTGTCCCCTCGGTTGGGAGTCCCCATGGTTGGGTGTCCCCACAGTTGGGTGTCCCCTCAGTTGGGTGTCCCCACAGTTGGGTGTCCCCGTGGTTGGGTGTCCCCATGGCTGGGTGTCCCAATAGTTGGGTGTCCCCACAGTTGGGTGTCCCCGTGGTTGGGTGTCCCCATGATGGGTGTCCCCACAGTTGGGTGTCCCCATGGTTGGGTGTCCCCGTGGTTGGGAGTCCCCATGTTGGGTGTCCCCATGGTTGGGTGTCCCAATAGTTGGGTGTCCCCTCGGTTGGGTGTCCCCATGGTTGGCTGTCCCCATGGTTGGGTGTCCCCACGGTTGGGTGTCCCCTCAGTTGGGTGTCCCCACAGTTGGGTGTCCCCATGTTGGGTGTCCCCATGTTGGGTGTCCCCATTTTGGGTGTCCCCACAGTTGGGTGTCCCCATTTTGGGTGTCCCCACAGTTGGGTGTCCCCATGGTTGGGTGTCCCCACGGTTGGGTGTCCCAATAGTTGGGTGTCCCCATGGTTGGGTGTCCCCATGGTTGGGTGTCCCCATTTTGGGTGTCCCCATGTTGGGTGTCCTCATAGTTGGTTGTCCCCATGTTGGGTGTCCCCTCAGTTGGGTGTCCCCGTGGTTGGGTGTCCCCATGGCTGGGTGTCCCAATAGTTGGGTGTCCCCTCGGTTGGGTGTCCCCACGGTTGGGTGTTCCCACAGTTGGGTGTCCCCATGGTTGGGTGTCCCCATGGTTGGGTGTCCCCATAGTTGGGTGTCCCCTCGGTTGGGTGTCCCCACGGTTGGGTGTCCCCACAGTTGGGTGTCCCCATGGTTGGGTGTCCCCACAGTTGGGTGTCCCCACAGTTGGGTGTCCCAATAGTTGGGTGTCCCCTCGGTTGGGTGTCCCCATGATGGGTGTCCCCACACTTGGGTGTCCCCGTGGTTGGGTGTCCCCATGGTGCCGCGGTGACACACCGGCGCTGACGGTGATGGCCTCCAGGAACTGCTCCCTCCAGGAGTGCGTCCCGATGACGGTGGCCAGGTTGGTCTTCTTGATCAGTTTGTCCACCGTGTTCTGCAGGAGCATTGTCCCCATGTCCCCATGTCCCCATGTCCCCATGTCCCCATGTCCCCATGTCCCCATGTCCCCATGTCCCCATTGTCCCCATCTCCCCTATCCCTATGTCCCCACAATGTCCCCACAGTGTCCCCATGTCCCCACGCCCCGTTGTCCCCCATGTCCCCGTGTATCTGTGCCCCCATGTCCCCACAATGTCTCCAATGTCCCCATGATGTCCCCATGATGTCCCCACCACGTCCCCATAATGTTCCCATGTCCCCACACCCCCGTTGTCCCGTGCCCTCCTATCCCCATGTCCCCAAGTCCCCATGATGTCCCCACGATGTCCCCATTTCCCCAGCATCCCCATGTCCCCATACCCCCACTGTCCCCCACT